ACTACAAATGAATAAATTATGACAAAATTTTCTATCAGTTTGCTCTTTTTGTTGTAGTTTTGTTTAGGTAAATGTTCCGTCTTGTGTCAAAATGGCCTGATGAGCCAGTATAGATGTTGCTCATGTGTGTCCGTTTGGCTACATTCACACTGCAGACCTTGATGCTCAATTCTGATTTTTTTCTTTTGTGAAATCAGATTTTTTTGCGTTGCTGTTCACATTTCCAAATATATGCAACTTGTATGTGATCTCCTGTGTGAACTGCAGTCATACAACCCAAGTGTCCCACATGTGCGGTAGAGGAAGCAATGGCGTCACAAGCCAGCGAGCTCTGCGTTTACGGAAGTAAACATGGATGGTGGAGCTGCCGCGAATCTGTCAATCTTTCCAAACCTTAAAAACTCAATCTTTTCAATATGGTTAAACATAAATACTGCTCTAAGCGTTATCATTCGTCATGGTTGTTGTTTTTCTTGCTGCTTCTGCGTAGCAAGACGCAGAATAGTGACCTTTGTCAGGTATTAAAGGCGTTCAGGTCGGATGAATGCGACCTGGCCGTTCAGACGCAGGTCGCATTTGAAGGAATCAGATTCGTATCGGATTCAGGACCACATAGCCAAGTGGGCTGGGTCGCATTGGAAAAAAAATCGGATCTGTGTTGCTCAGACTGCCATGAAAAGATCAGATCCAGGTCGCATATGGGCGAAAAAAATTGTATTTGGGTCACTTCAGGCTGCAATGTGAACAAAGCCTTAGTTGGGTCAATTAATAGTTAAATTACCTGTTTACTTTTTGTTGACCTCATTTTCATTTTTGGGCCCAGATGTATGTTTAGAGTTCATAATCTTGTAAATAAATCTGTTTCCATTTTTTCTTCAAACTTCCCTGTGCTTCTATAATTTTTTTTAATTCACAATCACTGAGTTCAAGTTATTTTACACTAAATATAAATTCCAGTTTAATAAAAAACCAAAAAAAAAACTTTACTGGTCTTTGCATTAAAGTCACACGTATAATTTCCAATAAAAGGAAGATTATGAATGGATTCAAACATGAAAAAAATCAAATAAAAACACTGCTTCACTGCAATATTAACCATGAGGAACATATAACAATACTATAAGTGTCACTGTCTCTGATATCTGCTTGTTTGTTGATAAGATGGTCTGTTTTGTGTGGCGGAAGTGAACAGAAACACCCTGCCTACCTGCTAGAGCTTGGCTGACAGCTGTGTCACACAATTACGCTGCTGTCTGTGGTCATTATCCTGCTGTAAAACTGAGAGTGAGAGACTAAGAGAAAGAAAAGGTTATAGTGGCTAGAAATGAGATCAGCGTGTGGTTAGAAAGACCAAAGAAGGAAGCTGACTGCTCACCAACAGAAGCAGCAAACAACAGCTGGACTCACTGGGTGTATATTTCATCCCTCCTTAGCTTCTGAGATTATATACCATCCCTTAAATCATGTTGGTTTTTGCTTCTAATCTTATTGGTGTTTACATCCCAATTTTCGCTTTGTAAATATTGAGCTAATACAGTTGAGATTTGTCATAATTAGTGCAGTACTGTGTCTTTGAGAGGTGGATGACTCTCCTATGAGTGTTTAAAGGCTCTCTGCTGAAATAGGATGTATATAAGTGAGTCATTAGCAGCTTTACACAGAACTAACTGACAGTCTCTGTGCTGGAACAGGGATATGGGGGCTAAAACATGAGGGACACTGGTCCCTGTGGACCGCCCTCCAAAATAAAGGTTTAGTCATTTGAGGATTAGAGTTTTAAAAGTTTTCCACCCAATCAAGGGTGCAGATTGGGTCAAAGCTAAAGAAATGTTGAGGCATTTATGAATGCTGTCTAAAATGATTTCATCAACAGACCATAGCAACAGGTTTCAGTTTAAATGAGAGAATTTCTGATGTGCCTGCAGCAGCAATGACAGACGGCTGCAGGTAAGAGCAATATGCCGCTTTATATCTGGTCTGAAGCAATTGACAAAAACAATGAACTTTAAAAATAGGAGGTGAAGAAACAGGTTTTTATATCAGAACTGGGGGGTAACTGAAAACGAACGACAGAGCAATCAGTCCGCGTTTGGTTCAACTAGTGGGAAATGGACATCTTCAACCTTCAGTCAATTGTAGATTTTAAAATGCATAAAGCAAGACAATAAATGTTGCAAACAGCTGTGGAGGTTAAAGAGAAATAGGTTTGCTCCTCACTGCGCCCACTATCGTCTCCATCGGTCTTTCTTCGACAGTAATGACTGTCTCTCACACACAACAACAAAGTACACAACATGTGTTTACTTCATCAATCAGAGCTGATAAGTCCTCCCTTCTTGCCTCCCCTCCTTTCACTCCTTTCAATCATTGTTTTCTTGCTGAGAGGCAAAAAAAGCAGGGAACTCATCCACACAGTGCACATCTCTGAGGTTTGGCATATTTATTATGTGAAAGTGTGGGAGGACATGGCCAAAAGCCTGTAATATATCTGCTCTAGAATCAAAAATGAGTGAATGGCAGTTCTCTAGTTTAAAAAAATAAAAAATGGCAGAAGGAAGGGGATCCCCCTGCCAAGAAGTAGACCTAACAAAGAGAATCTCACAGACGCTTCGTAGGTGGTGGTGGAGAGCAAAAACTTTTTTGTGAACATGTTTTGTTTATGCGCTGCTTTAGATTTTTGTCATGCAGTTAATAAAACTACATGGGTGCGTGTTTGTGCAAATCTGTCATATTTTTATTGTTCCAAAAACAAAAGTGAAGTACGGAATCAGCACCAAACCTCCTGCAGCGAAGCCACATGGCTGCTGGCTTCCTGAAATAGACGACGGTAACAGGAGAGAACCAGTTACTGCATCGTAGGGAGATGCTTACAAAATAGAAATATTCTCATAGGTTTGTTCTGAATATAAAGGAACAGCTGCATTTTATTTAAAGGGGAACATCCTTTTTTTTTTTCTTTTTTTTTTACGTTATTCCATCATGTTCTACTCACCCGTATGAGTTTAGTGTCATTTGGAGCCGTTCTGAAGATATTCGTTGGATAACGACTTGAAGGCACAAACTGAACTGTTCAAAATTTATTCTTTATGGTACGCCAGCATTCAGAACATCTAGGCCAATCACTGTCCCCCAGACATCCGAGGTTATATTTTTTTATTTTTATGTGTTTTTAAAAAAAAAAAGCGGCGTCTGTATGACATTATCCACTCGCCGGCTACCATTCCTTTATCCTGTCCGTTGAACTGCTGCTAGTTTTCCTCACATGCCTGGAAGATGTCTAGTGCTGCTACCACAGATGATCTCGCTCTCCAAATGGAACTTAACGATTCAGATTGGCTAGAATGAATAGAAGGAGTAGAGCGTAGCCACCTGTGGCCCGGACTGCCTGTCACAGCTCTAGTCCGGCGTACTGATGACGTCATACACGCTCCGCTTTGTTTAAAAAAAAATATAAATATAAAAAATATAACCGTGGATGTCTGGGGGACAGTGATTGGCCTACATGTCATAAATGCTGGCGTACCATAAAGAATAAATTGTGAACAGTTTAGTTTGTGCCTTCAAGTCGTTGCCCTATAGGAAGACGCTACACAAAACTCATATGGGTGAGTAGAACATGATGGAATAACGTAAAATCAAGGACCCACTGTAAAAAAAAAACGAAGTTCCCCTATAAAGCTAATGATTTTAGAAAAGCTTGTAGTGGCAGCGTCATGCTGTGGGATTCTTTTTTTATTAACTGGGACAGGTGACCTGGTCCAGACTGGTCAATGAAGAAAAGTTGTTGAAGACTTGAGACCGAGGTCAAATGAGTCAAATCATGCAACCAAGGTTGGGTCTTTGTCCAGATGCCGGCGACTACAGACTGATTTAAATGGTCATGATTACTGCCGTATTTACATTTCTAATACTTTCTGTTAATAGGAAAAATTTCACGTTTTTAATAGTTGATCTTGTGTTTCTTGCCTTGCTGCTGTACTGTAACTTTTTAGCTCAGGACCAATAAAGTACATCCAATCCAATCTGTTCCACAATCTATGCGTCAGAATGGTCCATTCAAAGCCCAGACTCAAATCCAAATGAATATCTTTGACTGGAGGTTCACAGAAGTTCTCCATCTAATGCATATTTGTCAAAGTCAAGGCCCGCGGCTACAGCTGTAGTCTTTTTGATTCTTTAGTCCTTTTTGGTATTGCTCTGCTTTTTGTTAAATACATTTTTTAAAGAACCTCAGGTTGAATTCTTGATCCGCTGCTGTGATTCGTCACTAAATTTTTACATTTCTTTGTACAAGACGTGATTTTTCTTTGAAGGAAGTATTGTTTTGTCTGTGTGCGAAACATTTTGTATTTTTTTTTATTTATTCATATTTTTTAGTTGAATGCACTAAGAGACAAAGGCAAAGAATAGCCATGAGAGAGAATACAACTGATTTGATTTTTTTTCTTATTTTTGAAAGCGGTGATCAGTAGGATCATAGAGAAGCACAGTTATGCAGTTTTGGTTTATAATATATGCACTTTCTTTTCTATATATATCTCTTTGAGTTTATTAATATAATAAAAGTTTATTCATAATACTAATATTTTGTTTATAAAACTAAAACAAACCCTTAGTTTAGAGGAAAATACCAAAAAAAACTCCATCATAAAAAGGGGGCAGCATCCTGCAACACATTACAGTCCTCAACTGTTTGTCAGTCATTTAGGAAGCTCCTTAGTAAACAGAAGTCATTTAGGAAAAAAATAAGGCAAGAATTATATAAAATGAACAATTTACTTTCAACAAAAGCACAACTTATGGCTTTATGTTTGTGAAATGCTTACTTCATGGATCCTCTCTCTGCTGGCATCAAAAGATCCAACTGTAGACTTAAAAACTCACTAACAAGGTAAAACATTACCTAGGAATGTCAACCAATCGCATGACACCAGGTTATGAGGCAATCAAAGAAGGAGGATAAGGTAGGTAGAAAATGAGGAATAGTGTTGTGTTTGTACCTCTTTGGAAGTCCGCTTGGCAGCGTAGATGATACTCTGCTGACAGGCATCATCTAAACATGCAGGGAGAAGGTGGTCCTGATAGCCATCACCATCTGCCAGAATGAAACACAAAGTTAGATCAGGGGATAAAAACGCAACTCTGAGCCAAAAGGAAAAGAGTGATACTCCAAACCAGTGCTATTTTAATACTTTTCCTCCATCTCAATTTGTTCTGCTCTGACTTTGAGAGCAGCGCTGTTTCAGACAACAAAGGAGCTGCTGCTATTTTTTTTCTTCCCATTTTCCCAACTAGATCACAAGAACACCTGCTTGTTTTCGACAAGCTGCGCCCGTCGCTTTGATGTCTTTCAATAATGTCTCTAGAATTGAACCATAAGTTTCCATTTTTTTTCTGCATTTCATTGATACTAATTGATCTCAGGATTATAAAATGCAGGATTCATTCAGAGTAGAAATGTTTAAAGAGGTTACCCAGAACCCAAAGGCCTAGTTAGACTGAGTTTAGCCCCGGCTTCCATAAAAAGCAACAAAATTCTAATTAAGCGAGGATTTTTTTTTAAATCACGGCGTTTAATAGGATTTAAAGCTGCAATTAAACACGCCATTATAAGCCTCAACAGTTTTTAAAAACCAGGATGTGAAGCACCAGAAAGAAATCTGAAATAGAAATGATTTTAAGCTCGAAGGATGTTGACATCCTGGCAACAATGCACCAAAGCATAAATCCACAGAGCAAAGAAGACTGGAACTTTACTCCTGGACACACATTAACACTGACTCCTGGAAAACCCTGGAGCGGAATAAAAGCTTCTTTACTGCAGCAGACTGACTGCAAAGGCATAAAAAATATTCAGCTGGAAATAGTCTTTGAAACAAAAAAAGACTGCTTTATTAGTAATTATTGAAATTTGAGAGTAATCATAAATATTGAGTAGATCAGTTTCTGTGAGAACTCAAGCTGAATCCTTCAGACATAAAAACGTAAAATATGGATTTAAAATTTCTTCATGAAAATAAGGGATTTCCTGATATAACATTTTCATGTCCGATATGATACCGACCCAATATATCAGCACATATCACACATATTTGCATTATTTGTTTTGCAGAATGTTAGAAATATCACTGATCAAGTGACATTACTCAAACACGGAGCAATAGTCAACAATGATAGATGTTAGGGGTGGAACGGTTCCCAAAATCCACGGTTCGGTTCTGTTCACGGTTTCGTGGTCACGGTTTTCGGTCGGGTTCGGTATATGTTGATTGTTACAACGAAATCCCATAAAAAATTATGGAATTAATGAAAAAAATAATAATAATAATTAATTGTAATTATTTTTAATGATCCGAGGAAACCCTGGATCATTTCCGCATGTTTTGCTGCTTTGAATTTAATCATCTGGCGCATGCTCTCTACGATCTCAGAGGAACTCAGAGCGGAGCGGACGGGAGCCACAGCGGAGGCTGTATGCTTTGCTTTGTGCAGGACGGTCTGGAGCGCAGCGGGGCGGAGCGCTGACGGAGTATGTGGGATTTCGGGGTTAGCATGACATGTTGGTCATGTTGCTGTTAGCATAAACAAAACGTGTTGCACAATGCTTGCACACTGTTGCATTTTTATCCACAACTTTCTGCCATCATCGTAGGTCACTCTAAATCAGTGGT